TTGACGAATGTAGCAAAATTCATCTTAGCACTGGAAGTATACCTAGACAATTAATTTTATAAATATTAATGTTTTGGCATAGAATTGTCTCTAGTATTGCAATTGATCATGGTCGGGTGCACATGCAACACCGTATTTTATCCCTTCATAAACAGACTCCGTCTAATCTTAAGTGGACTCTTTCTCTAACTCCCAATGGTCAACATCGTTTCCAAAATCCTGAGAACAAGGTTGAAACAGTAAGGACTTAAGCCATCCTCGGTTACATGGTTTCCTTCAAACCCTGGAATAAAGTTGTGTTTTTGCTTTATCAATGACGTCAATGAAATAGATTAATAAAATATTTATTACAAGATTATTTTGTCGTTTAACTGATTTACAAACCATGCATGGTGTATTTAAAGAATCTGAGCACAAGTCAATCATCAACATTCAGCTCCTATATTTCATATTTTATGTAGAAATAAGCGCAATAATTAACCTAGTACTAGTATCTGCTTCACATAGTTGCTTAATTTTTCTAAAAATTCTTTGATATTGTATTATTGCATATTTTGGCACGAATCAACAGTAAAACTATAGAAACATAATTGTCCTGATTTGCAGAGCAAATTATTTGTCATCCAATTGATGTCGCCGTTTTCAATAGTGCATGCACCGATCTTTCAGCATGATCTGGAATATCGTATTGCCAGTTCTGTTCATTGGAATTTTTTGTTCCGAAGGCAGTTTTACCCAGAAACAAGGTATTTTATTCTATATTTGTCAGTAACTGTGGTGAGATATTTTACAATTGCCTGTGCCAAAAGTAAATCATTCCTTAAAATAGAAATTACCTTAAAATATTCTGTACTCCTAATTTCCTTTATATTWTATGAAAAGCATTGCTTATACCCAACCACCCATTTAATATAATTGCAATTTATTTTAAAATGTTTCCGAGACCATTACATAAGAGAGCGGATACCGTCCTAATATTTTTTTATGGTACTAGTATCTTTCAATAGTTATGAAGATGTTCTGATTGGCTACTAAGGTCATTTGTTT